CATAATTTATTAATCGACTGTGCTGTTAAATTTAGCATTTCCAACGCAGATGTTTCCCACGACTCGCGGTGTTTTACAATCGCGATAAAGAAGAAGAAACCGATCGTGCCGTACAGCCAGCGAAGGAAAGGACGCGGCAAAATGGTATCTCTCGTAAATTAGCTAAATATATCGCGCAATATAAATTATTCCAAGGCCTCTAGATCACGTCTTAACCGTGCGATATATCGCTGCTCTCCGTGTCATTACGTGCTATGTAATAATTACGGCTTACTGAGTCAAGAACACGAGGGAGTTAATTAAAAGTGAGAATTTCAACGTCCACGCGACAATCAAATTGCTCGCGGAATCTCACATCGATAATCTCCCGGTAATTTCAAATATATCCGGTAATTTCAAATATATCCAGATAATTCCGATGATTCATACATGCAAAGAATATTATTTATAACTTCCCTTTTCGTCTATTATAAATTCTTTTCAATTTTATTATATTTTATTGTATTTTGTTATGTTTCACATTTATTTCTTTCGTTTACTTACGGGAATCATCTCTTTGTACAATAAACTAAATTAATACAATCAAAAATCAAACTTTCTGTTAGTGTAGTAATGGACTGTTAGTACTATATCTATCTTGTTAAGGAGTCTAATAAATATTTAATATACTAAGAAAAAAACATTTATTTACTGGATACTAAAAAAATAACGCGTACTTACTTAAATTCAAATTTTTTTATTTAAATGGAATAAATAATTACTTTTATGAGAAAAGATAAAGTTTTAAAAAAATGTGTATTTTCTTATTTGAGAAACATTTTATATTAGTTTAAGTAAATATGTTCTTATGCACGTAAACATATACACACTATATACTATATATAAATTATATATGTGTGTGAATGTATATATAGTGTCTATTATGAATATTTATTTATTTTTTATTTTTATTTTTTCCCTTATAAATAAATAAATTCCTTCGACATATTTTCTCTCAGCAAAGCAGATTTTAATTCTTAAAATATAAATAGCACATATGAAAAATAAAAGGACAATCGGTTATTACAGAATGTCTATCTATTCTTTCGTTATAGGATTCTACAAAATTGTTTTTACCACGCTATATATAGAGAAAAAAATGATTAATCTAACTAAAATTGTAGTTACTTGCGCCCTAACCATTTTTTTATAATTGTATATATTTATATATCATTATTATATATTTATAAATGGTATATATTTATATATCATTTTAAAATAGTAGTAATAACATGTAGATAAGATTATCGTCACTTAAATTATAATAGAATTTAATAAAAAAATTGTTTCTTTGACCATAATTTATAGTAATTTTTCTCTATGTGATTATAGTTACAAATATCAAACATTTTTTCTCAGTGTATAAAGTTCTCGCGGTGTAGAGGAGCGATCGAGGACAGATCAAAGCATCTCCTAGCATCTCGCCAAATATCTATCTTGCTTTCTACGGTCGTAATTTAAAAATCACATACTTCTGAGGCACAAATTCAGATAAGACGGTTGATACTTTTATGTAATGACCAATAGTTGTTTCTCGGCAGACGTTCGCGTTACAAGAGGATTTTGTGCCAAACTTTCCATGTCTGACATTTCGTATGCAATCGCTCAATACAAATATACGGACTGAAAGCGAATCGTGCCGCGACGCCATGTCGTGGCACTTAACGAGAATATCTCTCTTCCACATTATCGGACAGAGGAGGCGGTGACAAAAATACGCAATATAAAATATGCGGCAATTCGTCACGTTCGGCAAGGATGCCGATTCACTGCGCGTCGAGGCTACGTCGTATTTCCTTCTCGACCCGAAAAAAATACAAATCCGCGTGATTTCACGTTTATCTGTTTCATAAATATGCGAAGCTGCAGCACGACTAAGCTTCCATACCGCTCAATTAACACTGCCTGTTGATTGAGCCTCTAAACGGAATTTGATATCGCAAATTCCCATTCGGTCACGTATGTGCAACCATCGTGTGCAAGAAAATTCACGAGAATCGCGAATACATACTCAGGGAAAGACATGGCGATGGCAACTATATGACGATTATATGAGTTTTTTTCGTGTAGAACTAATATACGTATACATTTTGATAAAAACTACACACGCGCAGAGAAAATGTATAGTACACATAAGCAGAAATATTTAGTTGCATCAGCTCAGTTATCTGTGTGATGATAATGCGTATGGTTCACGTAATTTAATTACTACATCTTTGCATTACATACTTTGCTACATCAATCACATCAATGCGCGTGATCTGCTTGTTGGCAACCAGAGAAATCGGTTGGGGTGACATTTACCGTAGTAAATACATTCTAGTTGGAAATATTGCTATAACGCAAGTAATCAATAATTGCTTTATGCAGCAGCCACATAATTAGTTGTTCAATATTTCATTGTTGTATCTGTTTGGCACAGTCAGATTTATGTGTGGGCCAGCCATACTATTTTTCCGTATATGTTATAGATGTTGCAATTAAAACTTTAGAGATGTGCGAATCTAGATTTTTTATATCGAATCGAATTAAATTAAAGAAAAATCGAACCTCAGATTTTAATTTCGAATTTGAATCGAATTAAATCGATAAAATTTCACCCGAATCGAATCGAATCGAATAAAATTGAATCGAATCGTTGAAAGAATTTTTACTTAACATAATCATTCAACATGAAAATAGTGACTTTAGTATGAGAAAGATAATATTGATTATATGATATCAATTCATTTTAAGGTAAGAAATATACAATATGTTTCAGTTTCAGCCTTGAAAGCTGCGCAACGACACATATCGATCCGACAGTTGTCGGTAAAAGTTTATCTAGAAACCATTATCTTCTTTTAATATTTAAAAAAAAATCTTAATGTATAGCAAACTTTTTAAGTCATGCTAATTCCGATAAGGCTAGATGTCTTTAATAATACTTCGTTCGATTCGAAATTTTCGAATTATTCGGATTCGAATAGTTCGCACATCTCTACTTTAGTTTTTATATAACTACAAAGCAATTTATTAGACTATATAAAAATAATAATAATTAATTTTAATAAATTTCCATAATAATAAAAAATAAATAATTTTAATAATAGTAAATATATTATATATATACATATATAATTATAATTATATATATATATATACAATAATTATATATATATATATAATAATTCTACATATTAAAGTTGATAGTTGTCACCTACATAATTGCCATTAACATGTTTTTTTTTAGTATAGAATATTCCTTTAGACGAGCGGATATAGTCGGGAGGTATCGAACACGTATAGCTTCGTATTAGTTAAGTATCTGGCTGACTACGCATGCTTTTATCACTCCGCGCTACATTATCGTCGCATACATTTCCTCAAGGTCCGCGACGATCTGCATACTTAACCCCGCCTGACCCAGCGTGTATCGCGACGCGCGGTATATCCGCGTTATTAAAAACTAGAATTATTCACGCCGCTGCGAAGTATCATCGGGAAGCGTGAATCGTACATTTGTCATAAGGCTCTGTTGTTTATAGCCAACTTTGCGCGGCCCAAATAACTTACGACTTTTCTCTTCGATCGACTCGAAATATTCATCCACTTGCCGAATATCGCGCGCGCGCATTTTGGGGTTTATTTAAATTTTTAAATATTTAATTGATTCAACAACACATTTACAGTAATATAATTATATAACATATTTATATTGTACATATTTTTTATATATATATATATTTTTTTTTTTATATATATTAGATATACACTATGAGAGAGAAAAAATCTGAGAAATAAAATATATTTATTCGGTGAGTACTACAAACGTATTTATTTAATCCAAATTCTATTGTTTAAGTAGAATAAACAATCACTTTTGTGAAAAGTAACGATAGTATTTGAGGGAAATATATATTTTCTCACTTGAAGGAAATTTTTTCTCGATACAAAATATACTACTAAATATACTACTAAATATACTATATTAGTACAAAAATAATTATGTTATTAGCACTCAACAAATAGATATTTCTTATTTCTTGACTATCTTTTCTCTCTATGTTGTTAAAAAAAAATACAAAGTTGATTTACACGCGATGTGAAGGTAGACACAGGGTTTACCCGCAAAGAGTTTACCTGTTATCTCTTCAATAATTTGTAAATTTTATACATCTCTTTATTTTTCATTTTTTTTTAATATGTACACAATCCAGCAGAATAACTTTAACACACACAGCAGAATTAGAATACTAATACTACCTAACCGTATACATTTACATTTTTTCTGGATATTAAAGTAAATACCTGTCATAGTGAGAGATTATTGTTTTGACGTTATTTCTGTTTCTTAATCAAAAAGTAATAAATCAATAACATCTGCGATTGGAAGCAATCCTAAAAACTTGGCATTCGAGGCTATTATGTTAATGCTATTACAAATTGCGTATATCGTACGCAAGAGAGGAAAGGAAGTAAAGGACACGAATATTCTTCCGGTTACGCGCTAATTATGAAGAACGAGAGACGATGATCTCGAGAGAACGTCTTACTGAGAGAACAGTGGAAGAAACCTATCGTTCTGCACGGAAAGAACGGCTGAGGTTGAGACAACTAAAATTACTATGTTACCTTACGAGATGTTGGAGCATCTATATTGTTTTGTATCTTAACATTCGCTATATTTACTGTACCAAGCGCATATAGTTGTCCCGACTATTCCTCCGTAGCTGAGCCCGTGTGGTTGTGACAATCATATCATAGTTCGTGCTACAGCGTGAATTGTTGTCGCACCACCACGCCAGCGTTGGCACTTGCACAATGTAGTGATCTCAACTACAGTAGCATGACCATATCAATATGCGTATATTACAACTATAGACATAGTTGCCTCAAATATTACTATTTATTGTAGGTGTGGCAACCATAATTATGCATTTGGTAACCATATCGTTTTTTCCGTGTGCTTTTTGTTGTAGACGCTGATCTGTCTATGGGCACAGGAGCAGCGGGAGGATCCATTCTCGGCCTTGCCGCTTCGGGGGTCACCGGCATCACCGGAGTCACCGGTGTCACCGGAGCTGACGGTACTACTGGCGTCGCTGGAGTTGCCGGGGTCGCCGGGGTCGCCGGAGTCGCCGGGGTCCTATCACAACATTGCGCCATATGTGGCGATCGCGCTACGGGGAAGCATTATGGAGCCTCGTCCTGCGACGGGTGCAAAGGCTTCTTCCGGCGATCCGTCAGGAAGAATCACCAGTACACCTGCCGGTAAATCGCATTCTCACGATTTCTATTCTTTCCTTTTTTCTTTCTCTTCCTTCTAAACTGTATATCAAAGGCTCTGCAATGAAGAAATACAAACAAATAAAGAGAAATATAAGAACTGGATATCAATACGAATAATTAATTTATGAGAGGAGGTGATATTGTGCAATATTTTAATGGAGTAATGCCGGCAGTCTTATCTCTCTCTCTTACCAAATTATCTTTAAATCCTTTTATTAATTTAATAAATCTTTATTAAAGTCTTTCATTAATTTGATATTTAATTATTATTGTCAGTTATTATCACAATTATTAAATTTACAGGATTAAATCTTATAATTTAATCCTATTATTAATTCTATTAATTCCCCCTTATTAAGATCCATATTGCATATTTACTTAGATTCCTATTAAAGTTGCGAAAAATCAAACTTGGATCTGCCTACTTTCTGAGCGGGACACCATATCAATTCGATCATCAAGATAGTATTTCTCGCAACTTACAATGTTTATATGTTCATATTGAATGAAAGTATACGAGTTTTAAACATGTTGCGCATAGTATATAGTAAAGTTCGAAAATATATTATGTTTACACTCAAATAATATATTATCTTACCGTAAATTAATTATTCGCACTTGCATCCAGTACAGTGGAGAGGAAGGCCGGAGGAGGAAGCTCTTACAAGCCTTATATTTCTTTTAATATTCCTTTTTCTTTTCCTTACAAGTATTCATTTCTTTCCAGGACTTCACTTTGTCTCGCTTGTCACACCTCTCCTTTTCTATTTTATATTTTTATAATTTCTCTTGTAATCACTTATAGTTTCTGTTAAATCAAATTGTCTGCATTTCTTTATTTGCGTCTCTTTTGTCACTTATATATCTTTAGTTTTATCTTCTCTTTTCATTTCTTTCCGCTATTTAACTGTCAGCATGATATCATTGTATACTTTTGACTTATTTGGAATATTGAATCCCTCTATAATGCGATATGCATCCGCGAAACATTCTTAAAAGCTCAAAATTCTTTGTCTCAGGGCGTCAATAGAAGCATTTATATACAATATATATATATATATATATATATATATATATATATATATATATATATATATCTGTTTTTAAATTTCTCTGTTTATTATACATTTGTACACGCAGAATTTGTTACGAAATCGCAGCTCATGGAATACAATTTTTCCCAACAGATTCAACCGAAACTGCGTGGTTGATAAAGACAAGCGGAATCAATGTAGATACTGTCGGTTGCGCAAGTGCTTTAAGGCCGGCATGAAGAAAGAGGGTGAGTGAGTTAGTCTGTTGAGTCGAATTGTCCGTGTATGTTTCATCATGCATTCGGAGACACAGACGTATCTAAATTCCCGCTATTTTTAAGTAAAAAAAAATTTAAATTTTATTAATATACTTCATTATTTACGTAAGGCGGAACATTTCGATATTGCAATTCTTTCTTTTTTGTGACCCGGTTTTCATGTTATTAATAAGAATATTCTTAATCAACATTCGCATTTATTATGCATTTTTCTAAAGTATTGTCATGTATTATTCACGGCCTTTTCGTACTACGCTTCTTGGTTGTTTTGTTTCACCTCTACTCCATAGTAATGTTTACTATTTTATTTAATTCTATTAGTTGATTCAGCCGAAAATCGATAACATTGTTATTATTATTATTATTTCGTGAGCGCATAAACAGCCTTGTCGAAATTGAACGGCCGATCGAGGTAAATGAACTTCGAATGGTAAGCGACATAAATACGTATATTAAAGTTCGAGCACGTTCTGATGTTCAACGTGGTGAAAAAGTTTTTCTGAATAGCTACGAGCTACGAGCTATAGTTGACACGACTCGAATATCATTGCGTATATAATCATAAAACAGAACAAAGGTTCTCTGGCCCAAAGGTTTCTCCAAGGGCCGTGTGAACTTGCGACACTTCCCATTTTCCTCAAAATGCGGGCGCGTCTTCATTCATATGTAGCAGAGAAACAGAGAGTGATAGGTAGTTATACATGAACTTCCAACAATTACAGCTGTGCAAAATGAGAGAGATCGCATAAGCAGCCGGAGACCCAGCTACGAAGAACAATTGGCGAACAACGTCAACGGGCTTTCGGCGGTTCACTTGCTGCACGTTGAAATGTTCAACAGACAGCAGACTGAGGTCAGTACGGCTTAACCTCGGCCGAATTGAATATGTATGATCCGCGAAATCTGCGCCCCCCCCGAAAACCCGGTATAATTCGCCGACTTTGCGCTCGATAATCTTCACCATTTCTTTGTTGATATTACCGTCGTTTCTTCTCACAATTGAGAAATCGCGAGAGAAATCGATTTTAATTAGTCTCAGATAAAATTTGTAGCGGTCTCGAATTAAATCAACAAGAACTTCCGCGCTATATCGATCGTGTCTCACACAAATTCGTGCTAGAAACTGATCGTATTTCTTTTCTTTCTCTCCCTCTCTCTCTTTTTAATATAACGCGTAAGCAAGCACCAATGTAGCGACAATTCCGTACGATTTTAGCCAGGCAGTCCGAACGGTGAGATCGATTTCGCAACGATGAAATTAGCGAGCATAGAGGACGTGTGCGAGAGCATGAGGGAGCAATTACTGCTCATGGTCACTTGGGCGAAATCTATTCCGGCGTTCGGCGAGCTCGTGTTGGACGACCAAGTGGCCCTGCTGAGAGCACACGCGGGAGAACACCTGTTGTTGGGGGTGGCGAGGCGCAGTATGCGCCTTAAAGACACGTTATTGCTGGCTAACAATTGCGTCATCACGAGAACTTGTCCTGGTACGTAGAGTGTATGAAGTTGTCTGTCAAGTTTTACGGTGTTGGTAGTTTCTCTTGTCGAGCGGAGCAAGCGGTCTCGGGTGTAGCACGAGAAAGATTCGAGAAAGAAGGTCCCACGAGTCGCGTAAAATCGCCTCTGAGGAGAGTTTACACACGGAGAGAATCATTGTAATATAAGTATTGTAATAAAAAATTACTGAAATATTGTAGTAAAAATTACTGAAAAATATCTTGTGACCGAAGAACCTATCGAAAGTTTGCTTTAATTTATTATCTTTCCGTCTTTTATACGTGCTATTTATATTTTAGGAACTAAAAAGTCTACTATCAGCCTCTTAAATGGTATGCTCGGAAAAGTTTCGTTCGAAAATATCAAGTTTCTCTTTACTTTTACTCATAGCAAGCACAAATAAAGATTAAATATATTTTATATTCTACTTTTCAAAATTCTTCAAGGAAAATAGCAGCAAGGAGAAAAAATCTGAATACGTTAATTTAAAAGAAACGCAGTCATTTTAAATCACCACTAAAAAAATTAGACAATTCTACAACAAAAATTGCTTTAGAGGAATGTATTCACGTTTTTTCTTAATATATTATCAATTCTTTGTTAATTTATTGTCCTTTTATACATATTATCATTTTTAGGAACTAAAATTTGCTGTTGAAAAATTTATATCTATGCTTAAAATTTATATCTATGCTTAAAATTTACTGTACTCTATCATGTGGATAAACTTTATTTTTATTATTTCTATACTACTATAAAACATAATATAATTGAAAAGAATTTACACGAAAAAGAATTATAATATTCTTTCCATGTATAGAGTCGGGAAACGTATAAAATACTTAAGATATGTCCGAAAAGCTCATATGCTCGCGTCGAATATCAACGTGAGGCCTGTTAGACATTCGGAAAACATTTTTTCAAGGTTTTCATATTCACTAAAAGGCATTTGAGATTTCCGTGTGAATGCTTATATTTCTCTTTTCCTCACACAAACACATACTCTCTCTCTTCTTTCTCGATAGATTTCATAACTGTGTCGGGATTAACACAACCGCGTTGACACAACCGACTTGCTTCGTTTACTTGTGCTGCATGTGTAAGTTGCGTTTCGGTTTGGATAAATAATATTGGATAAATAACAATAACTAGACTAGGGTGTTACCGTATGTTTGAGATATTCCTCGGGTTTTGGTGTTGGTGTCGCTTCTTTTCGCACGAGATTAATATTAGGCAAACCTCGGCTGGTTTTCTCTTCGCACATGTTGCGCAAAAATTTTGCCTCATCGAGCGAAACGGTTCTCCCATTGCAAGATTTAAACGTAAAATTTTGTCAGAACGATAAGACGAATACTAGTTGAATTCTCTCTAAATGAATATCCGTTCTATCTTTTTCCTTCGAGTTCCAGTCTTATATTTTAGAAATTTAGTTCTATTTTTCAATAGAGATATCAGCAAATAAATAGCGGTATAAAAGTTTCCTTTAGAGAGCAGTTTCCATAGAAAACAATTGAATTGTTTACTATAGAAAATTTAAAAATTGCTAAAAATTTAGTTGCTACTCTTGCGAAATGTAACTACTAAATAGTTCCAAGAGTGCTCTCCATAAAACAACATAGATCGATCACATAGAAAATATTTTTATTTTCAGTTATTTTTTTACAGTTATTTTACAGTTATTACATACAACATCCTTAAAAGGTTAATGTAACCGGGTCTCAAAGGGTTGATGTAAACATATAATGATTATTAACAAAATTCGATTTTAATTCTATCTCGAGCGATATTCCAAAAGTATCGCCGTTATTATTCGACTATCGCGGAGCCGTCTGCGGCGGAAATTCACGCGGATTTCGTGTCTTCGGTGAGACACGAGCCTGTGAGACTCGATATTTCTAAACGAATGTTGTGTGCACGCTTCGAGCACGAAAGACCGACGTGTTCATCAGAAATCAGGTATACATCGTAACAAGTGACTTCTTATCGAGCGTACGAAGATATCTTGATTCGCGACAAAAGCTATCGATATCAGTGTGACACCGATACATCCTTCCTCGCTGACTTGTGTCAGCATTTTTCGAGAGATTCGGAAGCGTATGTGAAAGAACCGATCCGACGACCTTCACCTTTTTTGTGCTTACATAATTCCGTCGAGCGCGTGTATGAGTAAATGCGCGCGTTCGTCGTGAAACGGCCGTTTATTTGATACCTCGTCCGCGCATATATCTCGCAGTTGTTCCGTTCCGTTATGCAATTTTCCCCGAAAATCAAACCGACTGCGTCCCGTTCTCCCTTCCCATCTCAATATCTCAAGAAGTTTATTCACCTAAACCAGAGAGAATGTTTAAAATTATACAGAAATTTTACGTAACATTTGTCGCAATAAAACATACTCGTAGTTAAAGTTCATGCGACTAGTTTACACCGTTCGCAAGAAATTTAGTACTAAATATCTCGCAATTTTGCACGTATAAAGCTTATGACAGAAGTAATATAGATATTCCAGTGTAATTTCGTAAAAAAGAATGATATAATTTAAGTTAAAGACTAAAGAAAGAATTCACTACATCATTTTTGTGTAATAATCAATTATAGATTTGAAAACTGTTGTTTTATTCTTTGAGTAACATTGTATTGAGTGAAATGTTGCAAAGTAGTATCGTGCAATTAATTTCAAATTAACATTTATTATTCAGATATAGTGAAATAAATATATAAAAATTTTGTTCAATATAAATAGCGAATTTATGAGTAGCTCCCTTAACAGGTCACTGATACGCCTTTTGGATATTCTAAAAATATATGCCTGCTAAATGAATTCCTTAAGCATCAATGAACATTTGTTATTTTTCACCGGCTATTTTCTATATAAATTTACCCTGAGAGGAAAGATATCTAAGACTTAAAAAAATATTTATTTGATGGATACTATTATAATAGCATATATTTACATATATATACTAAAATATATATTAAAATAAATTAAATATAAATATAAAAAAATATAAATAAGAAAAAATATACCATTTTCTTGAAACTTTAGCTTCTCATGAGAACAATTACTCATTCTATTTAAATGAAGAACTTATATTTAGGTAAATATGTTATAATCATCCAACAAACATTTTTCCTTTTGTAGATATTTTTTTCTCTCAGTGCACATTAACACGTTGACTGTTTTCTTTTCGTACTTCCGGCTACTATTCTTTCTAAATCATCAAAACAGCCGACAACGTTCGGCTGGTATAGCACGAATTTTCTCGCAGTCGGTCAACAATGTGTTAACACGTCAAACGACTGTCAAACGACGAATTATGTCATGTGCAAAGTATGTAACGTGCAAAGAGAATTTTCCGTTCCATGCGTCAACTACGAGCCAATTCGCACAGGTTTGTTTCTTTCGGAAATAAACGTTCACCATGAGCACTCGACTGAATAATAAACATAATTAAATAGCATCTCAAAATAACACAATGATTTTTGAACGACGTCAGGAACACGAGGTTTCCTAATGTCGCTATGGCAATTAAAAGCGCGAGAGACGTCGGCAGAATTTCCGCTTGTCTAAATGAATCTTTTCTCTCGATGTGTATACAAGTTCGCGACACGTGTTGACAATTACGTAACATATTTCAGTATTCCATTCTTACACGTAGGTCTTCCCTCACACGTGTGGATCTATTCGGTAAGATATACAGCTCGTTATGTTTACCGTGCGTCAAGTCCTTCTCCTCGCTTCTATTACATTCGTCTGTAAAAAAAAATTATTGTTCGTAGGAGTTTTCTCTTCCTTTGCCTTCTTTCCTTTTTTTAAAGGTGGTAACTGGCTGATCCGAAGATCGCGCGTGCAGAACGAATCGTTCAGTAGTAAGACCTACCCTCGTAACTGCGATGTACATGTAAATGTGCGCCAATAAGCGGATGCTAATTGCATATCGCGTCTATACATGTCATATCGTTCTGTCGACATTATGATAATCAGTTTCGGTTTTGCATTAAGAAAAGAACGAATTCTGCAACTCGATAACAAAGTGGAAGCAGAGATAATGAAGTGATGTGTCACTTCGTAAAGTGTTACGCGTGTAAACTTGCACGGAAAAGAGAGAAAAAAAGGAGATATATGATACACTTAACCAGAAATATTTAGTTATAAGCAATGTAGTTGCATCAGCCCAGTTATTTTTGTAATGATAATGTGTACGGTTGATATGACTCAGTTACTTTGTAGCAATACATCAACCGCATCAATGTAGTTGCGCATGATCTGGTGTGCGATAACCGGAAATCAGTCTGCCTGGTATTTACTATAGATACACTCTAGTTGGAGCAATTTGGCATTGTCACTACTGCACCGTCAGTAACTCAGCCATTGCTCTGTAATTGCAACAATCACATAATCAGTCGTTTCGTATATCACTATTGACTCCGATTGGCACAACCAGATTTATGCGTGGGCCAACCATACTATTCTTTTTTTCCGTGTAGCGATTTACTAACGATCTACTAACTGAACGTTTCGTTTGGCATTGCACGATGGGGATGTAGTTAGTTGACTGAGTCCGGCATTTGTGTTCTTCCTTTCTTTCTCTCTGCCTCTCTCTTTCTTTCTCTCTCTCTCTCTCTCTCTCTCTCTCTCTCTGTCTCTCGGTGTACTAAATGCATGCTGGAGCGTCGATAGTGTCGTAAAGCGTATTCTCGTTCACTGGACTCAGTTTCCCAAGACGCGCAGCCGAACGGTATAATCGTCTCTTTCAGTAATGGCATTTTGTTCAGAGGGACGCACTCAGGACGTAGACATCAGTCGAGTCGGCGCCAGGGTGATGGACGAACTAGTGAAGCCTATGAACGACGTTCAGATCGACGAAACGGAGTTTGCTTGCCTCAAAGCAATCGTCTTTTTCGACTCACGTGAGTGATTTTCCGCTAACGAGGAGAATCGCGGAGAGCCGCGAGGAGTCGCGAGGTCGCGCGATCAACGAAATGAATAAAAATCTTCATCGTCGTCGTCGTTGTCGCGCGCGCGCGCGCTCGCAATAGACATAAATACATTCCGCTAATATAGATCAAATGCGATTCACTTTCAATAATCTCCGCGCTCGCACTCAATTCGATCTCGTTGTGGCAATCACGGCACGCGGCTTTCGCTCCGAGTACTTTCATAAACAACCGCGTCATCGTATATTTAACGCAGACATCGCAAAAAATAATCATAGATTGCGAGAAACAAAGTTTGTTGCATTATTCATTAGTTAGTCCTATTATTTGTTTATATTATCTTTTCCATTCCTGCTTTAATCTTTATTATTATTTTGTTTTTCTTATTATTGCATTTTTGATAGATCAATATGCAGGGTCTTGCTATTAAGACCCGAAGTGCGATTTATTTTCTTTTCATCTGGTTCAATTTCACTGTCCTTTTCTTTTCTCGATAAATCCTGACTTAATCTGTCATAGCAACTTTATAATATAGCAAAGATCGCCCATTTATCTATCTATTTTTTACTATTTGCTTATTGTACATGTTCTACCTACAGTTGAGTGAGTTACATGATTAATGCATCGCTTATTAAAATAAAGAATAAATATTTTAACTGCAGACAGACACAAAATATAGATATACGATCAAATATCAAATAATTCTCGAATAAGTGCTTCTTCAAGCCTCAACACAGATAGTAAGTGACAATGGAGAAATTATAATACACTGAAAAGAAAAAGTAAAAAATTTTTGTATCCCTCTCATGCGCGTTCCATGCGTTCAAACCCGACCGATCGAGTTGAATAATTCAATGCCGCGCCGCGCGTTATTCTCATTTATGATTATCCCGCTGTTAACACGTTAATTGCCCCAGTGACATTAGAAGAATTTCGTGTTCCTGACATCATTTTAAAATCAACATGCTATTTTAACGCGCTGATTAATTACATTTATTATTTAACATAGCTTTCAATAAAAATCTATCTCCGCAAAAGTCAAGCCTGTTGAAGTTAATGCGTAATTGGCGTGTGGAACAGTTCTTTTCCGTCAATTGTTCGAGATAACTCTCTTGTTTGGTAGTCAACGTATTAATACGCAGCTCGCAATCGATGCGCGCCGCCGATGACGGGCCGTCTAGATCGCCGCGCTAGATCGCCTCTAGACTGAATCATTACTTCATTGCTACATTATACTGTATCGTTCGCAGACGCGCAAGGCTTGAGCGAGGCCGGCAAAGTGAAGCATATGCGCACTCAGATCCAGATGAACCTCGAGGACTATATCAGCGACCGTCAGTACCACAGCCGGGGACGCTTCGGCGAGATCCTGCTGATGCTGCCGGCCCTGCAGTCGATCACGTGGCAGATGATTGAGCAGGTGCATTTCGTCAAACTGTTCGGCGTGGTGCACGTGGACACTCTGCTGCAGGAGATGCTCTTGGGCGGCACTACGACGGAGATGAACGGCACCGCCGCCTCCTCCGTGCCGATCTCGAACCCGGCAGGCAGCTATGTTAGCAGCAACGGCAGCCCCACCAGCCCGTTGACGCCCGCTAACGTCGGGTCGCCACAGGATCACATGCTGACCGCGGCAAGCAGTCCCGTCATGATCCTGAGGGATCTCACGCCCATCGCCGTGCAAGACGACGCCACGGTGTCCAGCTTCAGGCTCTTCAAGCAGGAGCCGAGCCTGGAGACCGAGCCGACCTTCTGACTAGATGACGAGCTGAGCCCACCGAGCTTGTTGAGCATGGCCGGCGAAGCTCCACTGAGCGTGCAATGAGCGATCGCAATGATGTGACCGGATCGTAATTTCGCGCCGGTATATAGCTCCTCGATGCAGCATCGGACAGTGCCGTGTGCCGCGTCATTATGCGACCCGTTTTCTAGTGCGTGTATCGAACGTAACTCTGACGTACTCGTCATATCGGACCCCCTCGTGGTTACTTACACGACGCAATGCGTTTATTGGCGCGAGTAAAGAGTATAGAGATGAGGAATCTGTGTCTGAACGCACCGACAGTCGGTAGGATAAAGTTGCGCTTTCTACGGATTATTGCCTGTTTAATCGTTAAGGCAAATTACGTTTTCGAAACTTGCAATTGAAATGCTGTATATAATATCAAATATTTTGATGAAAAATTCATTCTCTGCTCAACAATTTTTGTAAGCAGATAACATTCTTCGCGATATTAATGGAATTTCCTCAGCCGTATACGAGATTCTGCACAACGCAACGCCGGCTGCTAATGTGATAACCGCGATCTTTCGAAATACACGTCAAAGATATAGAATTCGCTCGACTCTCGTCAAGTTTTTGGAGCAATTGATTGCAACGCTATTTATAAGCACAACGTTCTGGGAAGAGAAAAATTTCGTTAGCGCTATCGAGGTTTTACGCGTTATCGAGCGGGCTATATATCAACATCTCGTATCAGGTGAGACATATCAAAAGATATCGACGCTTTTGAAATGTCCTGTTGATATCGAGCCGTATTTTCGTGGAGAGACGAACAATCGCATTTTTAAACTAATTCTAATCTTAATTTATTCACGGGATGACGACATCTCCCCTTTCTGGGAATTTTTGTACAAAATTTGTATATTATCGGAGTAAAATGAAAGTGGAACAGTGAAATAAATCGGACGGCATTAAAAGTAGCAAAAAGAACAAGGGAGAAAGATTACAATTGCGCATACAACTGCAATAATCAGATATTAATAATAAAATGACGATTATATTAGAGATTTCGACTTTCTATGATATTGGGTGAAAAGAGAACAAAGCCAAGAACAAAGATTCAAGTACGAAGGAAACGGACAAAACACGAGACTAAAGAACGAGGGACTTTCCGCGAAAGTTTCCCTCATGTGAATGCGGGAAACGCTACACGTAAATTGTGATCGACGTTCTGCTCAAGTAATTGCTCAAGTAACAAAACTCTATATACGTCGTTTATCGTGTTAGTCATAGCGTTAAATCAAATGTGATTGTCTACGTTAGTCCAAGAAAGTCGGTTGGACTGGGTGATGAATCGAGATTGGGGAGTACATAATATACATATTATCGTGAGGAACAAATAACGATATAGAGAAATCCCGAGCCCAATCTGTGCAACGATAAGTACGACGCAGCAGCGTGCTGTATAAGAGTCGCGTTTCGCAATAATAATTAAAAAAAAAATCCGCACCTGTACAAATAACGATCGATCACCGACCAAGATAAATGTGATAAGCGATAAGATCGTATCTTGCCATTGCTATTGCTGCAATAAGAGATAGTATTCAAGCACGACAGTTTGTTTCCGAAATCCGTGCTAAAACCAAATCGAAGCGAACGGCAGTTGGCTCGCGCTTGCCTGCGCGCTCTCTTTCTCTCTCTCTCTCTCTCTCTCTCTCTCTCTCTCTCTCTCTCTCTCTCT